CCCCCCGTGCACCACTGGACGACGCTTCTTCCCACACTCCCACGCAAGGGCAGCAGACTGAGTTCCCAAAGAGCCGCCCAAGCAGCCGCCGCTCCGCCCGGCTGAGCAGAGCGTCGCTCGTTGCCAAGCAGAATTTCGTGTAGATGTGGGATGTGAGTGCGGGAAAAAGAAGGGAGGTGGAGGGACGGACGAGTCGACCCCCCGATCGCGCGAATCAAAATCTTCTCTCCGACCCGTGTGCTGCCCAAACTCGGGGTCGTGTTGTTGCGGACGCCATGATAAACCTACCCCCTTGGCCCTTGGCTTACTTTTTCTAAAAAAAATTATTCCCACGGGATCCTTTTTTTTATGATCAAATTTTCCCCATTTGGGATACTTTTTTCGGATCAAAGTGTCTCCTTAGGATATTTTTTTTTTCTGATTCAAGCTCCTTTGGCATACTTTTTTCTGATCAAAGTATCCCCTCTAGATATTTCATCTGATAAATGTATCCCCACGGGATACTTTTTTTTTTCCTGACAGGAAATATTTTTCTGATTCAAGTGTCTCCTTGGAATACTTTTTCTTCTGATCAAGGTATCACCACTAGATATTTTTTCTGATAAACGCATACCCATGGAATACTTTTTTTTCGTGAGAGATACTTTTTTTTTCTGATGTTGAACGTATCCCCCATGGGATACTATGTGGTCTGTTGTTCGGCCTGTTCGTTGCCCCTCCGCTCCATGCAGGTCAGGCTTGTGCCCCGCGGGTCGGCCGTCCTAACTGTCCGTCCGGACACACAAAGAGCGCGGCTCCACTCGCCTCGCTGGCCCCGCTCCCGAGGCGCCCTTTAGCGCTTCGTGGCGGTGCACTGATGTTATGCTCGCACCAGAGTCTTCTCCTACGTGTGCATGTATGATGGCCCCGCCGCACACGTTTATTGAGAACGCATCCAACAAGCGCCATGCAAGCTGAACGATTTAAAATTTTAAGAACAAAATTTGAAACTCTGTAAAAGAAGAACTAAAAATATTGCACAAAATCTTAAGCGTTCTTCAACATTTTCCAACTGTTCTTATTATTTTTTTCTCTATGAGTTTTGAAAATAATTTTAGTTATGAAAATGTTTTTTTTTGTTTTTGTTTTTTTCGCCGTATCCCGTTACTTTTTGAGTCGAGTCGTCTTTGCTCGTGTTCGCACCCTCCCCCTCCAGGCTGCTGTGCGTTGGGCTGCCTGCCCGGCCGGCGCACCGCGGCTCGTTTAGCCTCCTCCAGGATCGCGCCGGATGGGTTGCCTGCACGTCGGGCGCATCAACACGACAGGCTACAATGCTCTCTCGTTCTGAATGAACTCCGTATAGGAGTGTGTGTCTGTGATTTGTTTTCTTTTGTCCTTTTTCCGACACATTTCTCTGATGAGATGTCTTTGTGCTTTTGCTGTTCCAGACTTGCTATAGTTTCGCGGCATCACTGCCGTTCCTCTCACGACTGCTGTCCAAAGTGCGGAGCCGTTTCTAAATCAACCTGGTAAGTTAAAAAATTATAATCAAGCAGTTGCTTTTTTCCTTTTCTCTCTCTTTCTGTGCACCGGGTGTTTCTTTGCACTCCCTTCCTTGTACGACGCTTTCTGTGAACGTATTCGGCCGTCTCCCTTCTAGATCTTATTGCTTGCTTCGCTGTGCCTCGTGACGTTGAGTGAGGTTAGGAGAGGGAGGGAGGGAGGGAGGTGTCTTGGGCTGGGTTGGGCGTGTGCCAATACGAGTTCAATAACTGACAGAGAAAGCGGCGTGTGTGCGTGTGTGCGTGTGCTCGTGTTTCTGTGCGTATGTGTGTCTGTTACGCAAGCAATCATTACGTTGGTCAAGCATTCGCAAAAGTCGCCCGTCATTTGACAAACATAATTTTTATTTTTTATTTCCCCCCATGGTGGAGGTGGATGCTCTGGATTAAATCGTGCTAAACGCAGCTTTCTCGGTGCCTCACGGCCTGTCATGAGCCATGGAGCCATCCGTGTTGATGACAAACCCATACCTCAGTCTGTAAAGCACGACGCCTGCTTTTGATTCGACGTCCTCCTATGGTGGTGGTGTCCACGGCCGGTGTGGTGATGTCCTGGGGGTGTCCTGCCACCGTCGCAGCCCTCCTGCGGTTGGGGAGGGGGACGGGAGAGGGAGTGTTGCAGTGAAAGTGGTTCAAGCCAGCGCGGTTCTCCCCTGCTTGCTCCGGGCGGCGGCTCTGGAGCTGGGACGACGGAAGACTTCGTAAGTCCATCGGCTCTGTCCCGTCGCTGCCGTGACCACGCCGCCGTGGGCTTGGGGGGTTCAGCCTCAGGCAGCTGATCGCCCCACCTGTCTACTACTGCTGCTGCCGTTGGTGATGCAAAGGATGTGTTTTGTCTGGCGGAGGCGACGACGAGCTGTGTGTGCGTGTGCGTTGTTGCGTCAGTGACCCCCCCCCCCCCCCCCTCCTCTCCTCCCATGTGACAGTGACAGAACGCCGCTCTCTATGAAATATGTTGATGGGGTACCTGCAGCGGCGGCAGTGCGCAGGGTTCACGCCCCGCCGTTAGGAGAAGCGGTCTGCCATTTTATCGCCGGTGTATAAGGTCGTATACGGGGGGATGTACAGGGTAATAAGAGAAAAAAAAGGAAAACTTTTTTTTGTTATTTTTTGTTGTTTTTTTAAGACAAAAAAAAAATGGGGGAACACGAAGATGCGTGGTGATTGGGGTGAAAGACTTTGGCGGGATGGGGTATGTACAGATGGCGGTGGGTGGTGGTGGGGACGTCGACGGCGGCGGCCGCTCAGTTGCCGACCTGGTCCACCTGCGACTGCAGGTTGGAGATGACCTCGGCGGGGACGTGGTCGCCCAGGATCTTGGTGAGGTCGATGCGCTGGTTGGCTCCGATGTTCTCGTAGGCGGCCAGCTCGATGCCCTCCTGCACCTTCTGGATGGTGGCGTCCTTGGGGATGAGGTACGTGTTCTGCGCCTGGCGGATGGCCTCGTTGGTGAAGTAGCTGCCCTCCTTCTGCGGGGCGGGCAGCGCCAGCGCCGCGGCGCACAGGGTGGCGAGGACGAGGACGGCCTTCATGGCTGCGGGGAGCAGCGAAAGAGTTCAAGGTCAGAAAGGTCCTCCACACAAGTTCCAGAAGCATCTGCTGCTGGGGCCGGGGCGAGCTCACGTCAGTGGCGGTGACACTGCGGCGGACCGGTTCCCGCTTATGAAACCCTGCACACCCGACACCGGTGCTCCCGATCAATCTATGGCACCCCCCCCCCTTTTACAACATTTTCATCTTACTGCTCTCGGTAAAAACAATGGCTGAATTTGTTGGAAAATTTGAGGAAAACTTCTAAAATGAAGAAAATTTGCCACATTTTTTCGATGGGACTTCAACCTTTAAAGTTATCCCCATTCCATTTGGTAGCGGTTTTTACGTTTCATTCGACTTAGCGGGTCGCCTACTCCCCAGCCGTAGTGGCAAAGAACCCCCCCCCCCTCCCTCCTACCTCTCTCAGTCTGGTATCGCGTAACGCCGGTGACACTCACGCCACCGTCGTTCACACCTAGCCCGCATAACCTCACTCGGACGTTAAGTGTTACTCAATCTGTGGTCAGAACGGCTTGTCTATGGTTTTTGTAATTATTTATTTTCCTGTCTCTCGAGAATGGCACTAGCGCTGCTGCGTTTTGTATCGCATACCTAGACTGCTTGGAGCTTAACACAGTTTTTCTCTTGGCCGGTCCGCTTCCAGGATCGCACCTATACACCGAAAATTTGCACTTGCCAAAAAGATAAAGTTTTTGTGTGATAATGAAAACAAGAACGGTTTCAAACAGGAAAAAAACCGCGCGAAGCGCGAAAAATTTAAAATCTTAGCGCTCGATTTCTTTTCCCGACGCCATATCTTGGCGTGCATCTCGCAGCTCGGCCCGGCTGCGTTGATAGCCTCTACTGACTCGTCCTGCAGGCCGGATAATCACAGTGCATCGCGCCGGCCGGATAGTATAGGATGCATCCCGATGCATCCTCCAGAGATGCAGCGACGTAAACTCGTTGCATAACGGCCGAAATACTCTCCAGGCGACGTGAGATCACCTCTGCATCCCCCCCCCCCTTTCTTTGATGGCCTTGTATCTCACGATTTTAAGGAATTGAAGCGTAGCTGCTCTAGTGACGGCAGTGACGGACCCCAGCTGAGGACACTAACCGCAACGTTTAAATTGCCAGTCGTGAGCTTTGAACTTTTTTTTCTCGCGTGTTTATCGACACAGCTTATTTTATTTACTGCTGTTTTCTTTCGCGCCGCACACGATGTGTTTTTCTGTGCTAGAAGCTGTTCCTCTTGCTCCTTATTGTACCCGAAAACTATTTCGCACTGCACTTTGCAGTTTACATAATCCTTTCACAAAAATATACTTTTGCACTTAAAAGTGCACAGCTACCGAGCTGAGCATTTGCAAATGCACAACTACGGAGCTCAACACAAGTCGAATAATTCTTGCAAGTATTCAACTTGCAGTTGAACATTTGCAAAGTGTTGCACAGTTGCACTCTTGGTCTATCACGTTAAACGGTGTGAATAAGTCGTCGCCAAGCAGACGACTGCGAATTATCTACCTAATTGCTGACTTTTTAAACACACACACACACACACACACACACACGAGTGTCGCCGTCGCGGTGGTCGTCGAGCAGGTGGGCGTCGACACAACACAAGTCCAGGACGGTGCGGGCGGCGCGGACTCACCTGCTGGATGCGGTCGGGTCGCTGGTCGGACGGAGACTAGCGCCGCGGGCCCGGCGCCCTGGCTTATGTAGGGGGGCCCGGGGGCCCGGGGGGCCGGGCGGGCAGCTCGGCGCCGACCCCACCCGGCCGGGAGGGCGCGACCGCCTGTGTCTGTCTAGGGGAATTAAAGGTTGGAAAAACATTACAAAAGTGTAAACAAACTCCCAAAGGTAGCCCCAAATTTTTGCACCCAAAAAAAAAAGCAAATTTTATAAAGTTGTAACTGACGGATTATTCAGAACGTATGTCCGAGATTCGCTGAAACGAAACTGTCACTCTCGTAGCGCCTAGTAGGTAGGCAACATCTTGCCTGCTGCGCATGCGTGCACGGCGGGGTGGCCTACCCCGAGTCTCGCAGGCGCTGAGCTCTCGTAATTTTGCCGAATTAACCTGAGAAAAAAATTGGACGATCCCTGCTAACACTGTACAACAAACTCAAAGAACCACGTTGTGTAATTCGCTTGTAAGGGTTACAGGAAAATTTTTCAGGATGTGGTTGAAAAATTACAACTTAAAATATTGTAAAATTGCATCATCCTGGAATTCAGAGCCGAGCAAGAAACGGGCTGTCATAAATTTACGATATATTCTGTAAATCGTAAATACAAAGTATGTTGTAAATTTTCGAAGAGTTTTTCTCACAGTGCCTCTCGGTGTTTTGCGACCAGAGTTGTATTTTGATGTCGCTCGTATTGTGTGTTTGCCTAACGAGCGGTCGCCTGAGCCCTCGCTACACGCCCTTAACGTGTTGTACAGGAAGCGTTCGTGTGAGCCTCGCGCGCGGAGAAACTTTCTTCGTGTTGCTTTGGTTTGTGTCGTCTATGCTAAAGCGTGAGCAATTAACGTGTCGCGGGGGGGTGGCGGGGCGGGGCGGCCCCGGGCCAGGTTCAGAGGCTCCACACGCCACACAAAGGCAGGCGCCCCGCCCCGCCCCGCCCCGCCCCGCCAGGGCGTCGCATCACCCCGGAAGAAAGCTAAAGGAGGTGTCGCATGAGGCGTGCATAACGTGCGACTTAAACACGACGCATGTTTGGGTGTGTGTTTTTTTTTCGACTCTATTATAGGGTCTCTATTATATGGGGGTACATTTTTCACGGCTCACACCCTTGACGGTCAAAATTTAGAAGTAGGGTTATCTTTTCGATGCCCTATGGTAAATGTATCCCCGTAGGTTGTAACATTTTAGAGGTGGGGGGTGACTTTGGTGGAGTACATTTCCTCCAGCACGCGCTATTTGAGCTCCAGGCTAGCAAGTAAAACTTTTGTGTCGTTGTGAGGCCGTGATAAGTGTATCCCCGTTTGTGAACGTTTTTGAGTGGTGAGGTAACTTTGTCTCTCTGAGGCCTTGCCGCCGCCCTCTGCCCGGTCGTGCAGAGAGTTCGCCGCCCGTCGCACTTTGTCCACGGAGCACACAGAAGCAGAGATACCACTCCCAGCTTACGGGTTCGCGTCAATTCCGTACTACTAGCGCGCTCTGAAGAGCAGTACGGCCAACTACTGGGCGGGGCGGGGCGCTCAAACCCTCCAGCCGGCCGGCCGGCCGGCGCGGTCAGCCAGGTAGGCGTAGCGGGCGAGAGGGTGCCCGTGGGGCCTCCCCAGCCGCCCGCTGAGCTAATATTTCTTCCGCGGCTCACAGGAATGACCGTTTACAACAAATTTTACTTGGAAAACAATACCAGCACGGGAGTGACTCGATCGAGGTTTTGAAAATTGAAATCTATTGACTGATTCGGATTCTCTTTTTATAAGAAAACGAAAGTTTTTCATGACCAAAGGCAATCAGAGTCGAAATAACGGATATATTGGTATCAAAACAGTACAAACAATGTCAAAAATGACTATACTTTTATTTTCAGTTTGGAGTCCATGACTCGCCTATTTCACCTCTGATCGTCACAGACCATAAGATATTTTTGGTTTACTTTCCCATGTGTAGTCCAACTGTGGCCCCAGAACTGAAAAGTAAAATTACTTCAAGTTAACTGTCAAATCTGTTAAATCATGTTCCTCTATTAGATGTTAGTGGTTCAGTCTTCCAAATGTGTGTCATTTATTTTTAATAATATCACAAAATAAACCCAAACTCAAACCAACATCATTCCATGTCGAACTGCATCTACAATTACCCAATCCATTGAACAGGCAATATCGTTACTTTTGATTTTGTTCTACATGTGTAAGACCGTAAGCAAGGAATAAAATTATAATAATTTTAGAAATGAAAAAAAGGTGCTGTTGTACAAAATACTTGTTTATCTTAACATATTCTAACTAAACTAATGTAAGAGAATACAAGTCTGACTGGTTTAC